TATATATATATATATATATATATATATATATATATTTATATATATATAAATATATATATATATCCAAAATAGACGCAAGCACACATCATCTGTGGTAAATTTCAGATTTCCTGCGCTGTGCGTCGTATGCGTAAAAGTCAATTTTCTCTCCAAGTGCTTACACTGATGCACGTTTGCCAAGTCGACCTGTCACGTATTCCCGAATTGGATGAAGATAAGTGTTGGCTTCATCTTTACCTATATTCTCCGTGGACCTAGTGTACTCATTCTGAAAGGTACTTTTACCGAAAGCACCATGTATCCAGTAGCTTAAATGATGAGGCGAAGTCTCCGGAGCGCGATCGAAGCATTCTGTTTCCTGATACAGTCCGGGAATCTTTGGCAGTGCTTTATCCGTTGAAGAATAAGCTACGGGGAGGATATACATATACTTAGCGCGAGTGTTATGGGGAAACCCTGTACCTTAAGTGTTGTGGGGCAACCCTGCACCTTAGGTGTTATGGGGAAACCCTGCACCTTAAGTGTTATGGGAAAACCCTGCACCTTAAGTGTTATGGGGAAACCCTGCACCTTAAGTGTTATGGGAAAACCCTGCACCTTAAGTGTTATGGGGAAACCCTGCACATTAAGTGTTATGGGGAAACCCTGCACCTTCCCATATATGTTGGCAACTATTTTGTTACACATACGCACGCGTGAGGGAGCTTGATTGTGTGATAGATGTTAGATGTACCCTCAAGTTGTATTTATTTATTTATGTATATATATCTGTGTTCGAATTAGATTCTGAGCACCTCGGCAGGAAGTACGCTGACGACGGCTGGAATCTCAACAACATGCCGATGCTCTACAACTCCCTGTTTGGAGTGTTTGACCAAGCGATAACGGGCATGACGGTATGTACTGTGGACTCTGCCGTGACAGGTGGTTGTTGCTTGGGTGCTTATTGCTTCTGTTGATCTTGTAGACAAATACCTCGTATTCCATTGGATGTCGCACCCCGTGGAGATTCCGGTTTGCGTAATGTCGTTAGTGTGTTTTCCTCGATATCACAGCCCATGGTGATTTTGATGTATATGCTGCTTTTATACTTGATATACTTTTCGCTATCTCTACCTTTCAATGTATCCATGTTCACAGTGTGATATATATTTTGTACTGTACTGCTTACCATAGCTTGTGGAGATTCCGATGTACACGACGGGATATGACCCTGATCGTAGTACATGTGAACTTAAACGCCCTCTGCCAACAGTTGTGTCCGACTTTGATCCGCAGAAACAGACTGTTCTATAAATAGCAGGGACGACATTCGCTGACTTTATTAGTGGATATACCAGTACACTTCTTGCTGCACATCTTCGCCGAATTAACCCCGATCGATCACTATCTTACCCTTGCATCATCTATCCTCAAATATATATACACTACTATCTTACCCTTGCATCTTATATTCCCATACATACATATATACCACTATCTTACTCTTGCACCTTCTATTCCCATATATATATATATATACCAGGTCCCATGGATGTACATCGGGATGATCTTCTCCACGTTCGCCTGGCATGTCGAGGATCACTACACATACTCAATCAACTACAACCACTTTGGTGCCCCCAAAACGTGGTATGGCGTGCCGGGGTCTATGGCCGACCGGTTTGACGAGGTGTTCAAAAATACGGTATGTTTTTCTGACTGGACTAAGTCGGTCTCATTGCTCTTACCGCAATGTGTGAGTATGTCCATTGCTATTTACGACGTACGGGCCTGGGTTTTTAATTACACACACATGTATACATATATATATATATATATAAGTGAAACTCGATGCTGCGTCTGACACGATCACCGCAGATGTGTGCTTGGAGTTTTAGTGAATATGGATCGTGTATACCCAGTAGCCTGGGTGCAGAGATTTACCTCATTTTTGACACCATCTGTGATGTTGTTAGAAATCGGAGTCACCAGAATGATCTCTATGTACATTTACGTGTTTAGCTTCTCTATATACATTTACGTGCTTAAGCTTCTCTATGAAATATCTCCAAATGCAAAACCTTATACACACCTCACACATGCCTTATAGAGCTCTTGAGTAGTCGAAAGACTCACAGTATAATGCACTGGCTTCATAGATATATATATACTCAATTACCAGCTACGTCCAGTGTTTTAAGTAAATCTTGTTGCTTGGCTCTTCTATATACTAATCCACCCCTCCAGGTCCCAGAATTGTTCGAGGCGGAACCGGATCTCATGAACCACCTGGTGACCATACTCAACCCGAGTGTATTTGTGGACAAGAACATCAGTGTCTGTCGCACAGATCAGCGAGAGGGCGAGTTTGTTATTACCTTCCCGCAGGCCTACCATGCGGGCTTTAATCAGGTGCGTGCTATATGATATATTTTCAAGCTTTTTTAGAAAGCTGTGTATTTACTATTTTATTTAGAAAGCTATGTCTATCATACTTAGATAGCTGTGTATTTTTTTATCTGATTTAGATAGCTATGTATTTTCTGTCTTATTTAAATAGCTATGTATTTACTATCTTATTTAGATAGCTATGTATTTTCTGTCTTTTTTAAATAGCTATGTATTTACTATCTTATTTAGATAGCTATGTATTTTCTGTCTTATTTAAATAGCTATGTATTTTCTATTTTATTTAGATAGCTATGTATTTACTATTTTATTTAGATAGCTATGTATTTTCTATCGTATTTAGATAGCTGTGTATTTTCTATCTGATTTAAATAACTATGTATCTACTATCTTATTTAGATAGCTATGTATTTACTATCTTATTTAGATACCC